TTCAGAAGGGTCAGAGCTTGGGCTTCCCTCCTGGAGGATGCCGGTTCTTGGACGACATGGCGAGCACCGGAGTCCCAGTCGGTGTTCGTGGAGAAATCCTTGGGTGGAGGCGGTGTACGACAAGAAGGACAAGTGGAGGTCTGGGACGACAAGGAGCGGGAGAGGGGCCACAGGGACAACTACCCGTCGGCCAAAAGTCACATGGAGAAGGTAAAGGAGCATGTCCTGGAGACGTGAAGAAGGGGTGGACGAAGAGGATGACGTTGGAGGAGGCGCAGGTTCGCTACAAGGAGGAACTTCAAGTGGCCTCCTTGGGGGCGGTCCCGAAGTATCGCGAGTGGTCAGACGTCAGGGTCGTTCACGACGGCACCCATGGCATGTCGATCTGGACCAGCCCAACAAGATGACCTCCCCACAGTACGATGACCTAGAGGCCACTATGAGGGCTTTCAAGGAGACCGCCACTCCGACACGACTGCTCCTCGCTTTTGATGTAAAAGCAGCTCACCGCCTAGTGCCCATACATGAGGCGGACTGGGGCCTCCAGGCCTGTCGACTTGATGACGAGCAGGAGGTTTACGTCTACTGCACGGGCACGTTTGGGGTGGCCACAGCCGCCTTCTGGTGGGGCCGCGTGGCTGGGGTCATCTTCCGGTGTTTCCACAAGGTAATCCCGGTCAACTCCCCTTCTACCTCCTCCTGTTTGCCGATGACGGCCTGGTCTTCACGAGCGGCGAGGCTTACCAGAAGATTCTTCTGGCCCTGCTGCTGTATCTCGAGATCTTGGAGGTTCCCCAGGACTACACGGTGGACATCACCAACTGGAGGCTAGGCATCAGTGAGAGAAAGATGAGTTGGCTGAAGGAGTGGTCCAAATGGGCCATTTCCCAAGGACACATGTTGGGCCGAGACTTCAAGGCAGGTCTTGGACGGCTTGGTTTCCTGGCCGGCATTGCAAAGAGGGCGAGACCATTCTTGGCACCTCTCTATTCCTCCTCATCTCGGGTGAGGGGAGGATCATTCTTTGAACTGCGCCTTTCAACCAAGCTGGCCATTAAGTTTTTCGAGGAGTCCATTGGTGATCGGCCCATGAGACCGTTGTCTTCGTGGCCGTCGGTGTTGGGCGAGGTGTTCCGTGTGGACGCTATGGCCGACCTGGAGCGTGTGGCCGTCGTGGTGTGGGAGACATTCCACACCACCGACACCTTGAAGGCACGATGGTTTTCAGTGAAACTGAATAGGACTACAGCTCCTTACTTGTACGTCAAAGGGGAGCCCTTCAAGACGATAGCCAGCGCCGAGCTTTTAGCTGTCACGTTGGCGATCATGGTCTTCGGCCCAGCAGGAAAGTGGCGCAAAGGAGCTGGCAGAGTGGCGGTGACCGGGTTCACCGACAACATCTCAAATGCCTACTTGCTGGACAAGTATCTCACGACTAAGTTCCCAGCTTCGTTGGTGCTCATGGAACTGTCCAAGCAGCTGGAGCTCTATGACTTGAACCTCAACCTAGCTTGGATTCCCAGAGAGCAAAATGAGCCGGCGGATGACCTCAGCAAGGACAGGTTTGAAAAGTTCGACTTGAAGTGTCGGGTCGAAGTTGACATGACCAAGCTCGACTACCTCGTACTTCCAAAGATGCTGGAGGCTGCCATGAGCTTGGACGAGGAAATCCAGCTGAAGAAGACTTCCAAACAAAAACCTTCCTTTGCTGACAAGGCGCCGGCGGACCAGAAGCTTCGCCTTACCCAGCCTTGGTAAGCTAAAGAGGGGAGAGACTGGAACGGCGAAGGAGCACAACCCCAAAAAAAAGAGCGGAAGTTGAAACACATGGCAATCGAGAAGCGAGCGTTCGATGAAATGTGTTTGAAACTGTAGCGGTGGCTCACAGAAGCCCACCCAACCCACCCCCTAAAATGGGGGAGAGACTGGAACGGCGAAGGAGCACAACCCCAAAAAAAAGAGCGGAAGTTGAAACACATAGTTATATCAGTATCATTCTTTTTGCATTTGCTTATATACACATAGACCTTAGTACCTATACTGTATAATGCGCTACATATGTACATATATAATCATATATATATATATACACGTTATATGTATATTTCCTTTTGTTACTTAAGCCCATAAGATCTCCAGAGAAACATTCAAATCCAGGCACCGCCTGGTCTGCAGCTCTAAACTTGCTGGCGTTGGCGAGTGCACGAAGGCTCAGCGACGGCCTCTTGGCCTTGACGCCCGGTGCAGGCCCCATGGACCAACGGAGGCGATGCGTTGTCGTGGCAATTGGAAGACGGAGGACGCACAAGAGATCACAAGAGTTCGGGATTAGAGATCTGTTTTGAACACCTCAAGCCGTTTGCAAAGGTATCTGCTTCAATGCAGCTGCTGACAGCTGCAGTGGCATATGGCCAATGGCATTTCACCTGTGCCAGGCCTTGGCATGGGATTTTAGCAAATCTGGCTGCACCGAATGTTTGGTGTCCGGCCAGGACTGGACATATTGCATGGCTGACTTGAACGCCTCGTAAGATTGGGGTCCTGATGCTCCATGATTGTGTTGATGAGTGCAACGATCCAGCACCACCGCAGCGAACAGGTTTTTCATTGTATTGATGCTGCAATGCCAAAATAGTCCATTCAAACCACTTCAGGAGGACCAACTTATGCATCCAATGACGTTCTGGCAGCAATGAAAAGTCGATTAACATCTGTCCCTTTTGCAACTGTGTCTCCTTCCAAATCACATGGGCACAGGAGTTTCTACCCTGAACTAGACTACAATACGCACAGTGATCTGAGGAAACTCCGCTGGAATTCCGCTGTGAACTACTTTAATATAATCTTATGCCCTTGACTCATTCATAGCTTCATTAAGTTTCCTGGATGTCATCACTTCATTCATGTCACGGCAATAAATACGCATAGTGACCTAAGACTCTGGACTTCATTTCATTTGGTGCTTCTGTTTGGTGCAAGACTTGGGCAGGTTTTCAAGCAGGATAAAGCGCGCCCCTCAAGTCGCACTAAGAGCGATAGTGATGGGCTGTAGTTGGTGCTCCATCTTGCCATGAGTTGTTCCCCTACTCACTTTCTGCTGCTGCACCCTCAAACACCTCCGCAGAGGTCAACGCGTTTTCGTTCGAAAATGCGGTGACACATCGCTACACTCAGATGTCCAAATATTGCCCAGGCTTTGACAAAGGCTGCATCCTGGGTTTTCATTGGGCCCCCTGTTGGGGTGCTAATTCGTTGAGGTGGATGCTTTTGGCCTAGCAACCGCTGCTTGTGCGGCTGAAGCCGGAGAGGCATGGCGGATGGCTTGGCAGTTGGAGGCCAAAGCGCAGGCGAGTTGTGGCGATCGGGGAAGTCAGGGGCGCTAGCCGCTGAAGGTACCGGCCACACAGGCATAGGCACAGCTGGGGTGTCTCAGCTGTGGTCGTGGTCAGTCCTTCACAGGGGGAGACGAGTTGTCTAAGTTATAGTTCTTTTGGCTGTCTGCAGCTCAAGTATAGAGCATAGAGCCTTGCGTGGAGGGAGCCGCGTTGTCAGCATTCACGGAAAATCGAAAGGTGGGGGGCTTTTGGTGTGCAAGTGTGCAGGCAATTCAGCAGTGGATTGATTTGATGAACGCATGACCCACGACAGCACCGCACTTTGTATGTCTAGAATGGCCATGGCGTTTGGGCGCCTCCGGCGGAGCTCCCTAAAGAATGCGGTGATTCTCCTGGTGGCACTTGCATGTTGTTTGCCCGTGGCTTTGCAGCACCGGTAGGGACGCGGGGCCTGCTTTGTTGCTTGATCAAGCGGCACCCTGACAGTTTGATCCGTGAGGTGTGGTTCCATTCGGGCCAACCACCGGAATGGTGAGATGTCGTGAGAGAAGACTATATACCCATCTAACATGAGTGTCCACGCCAGCCATGGAGGCAAAACCTTTGAACCAGGCAAAGCTATTGACTCATTGACGCTTGAGATATTCCTTTTGAGGCCTTTAGCATGCCACCCAGCCGACAGAGCAAGCCAAGCAGGTCAGCGAGGCGTCAGGGCGGGATGATGAGGGGAGAATTTAGTGCAAGACCCGCAGAGGACCTCAAGTTTCTGGTGTAGTAATGCCCTTGTCTAGTAGCACAAATTCCCGAAGTTTTACCCTGTGTTCAACACCGCTTGCATTTTCACCGGGGGACCTGGCGAGGTAGGCTCGTCGCATCCGCCAAGGAGGTGGAGGGGGTGGAGTAGATGTTCAAGCCTTGTTTGGGCTCACAAAGTGCTCCAAAACCTGCTTCAAGGGGTCAGGTGTTGAGTGATCCCACCGCAGCCAGGCTCGGATCCTCACCTCTCACCCTGGACGAAAGGAACTCTCTCCAGGCGTGGCGTGGAGTGGAGACTTTCAGCAACCGGTGCCCAGTGCATACCTCCTACGTGCTGGTAGGGGGTTTGCTTGGTATACGGCGTATATATATATATATTTATGTATATTAAAAACCAAATATATATATATATGTTTATTTTTAACATTATTTGCGAAGTTTGTGCAAGATGTGCACTGTGTATATATATATACATTTCTGTTGCAGTAGCGATGGGAATTATATTATATAGGTGTTTGAGGTAGAGCGATTGCCAGTGATTCTTGAAGCAACCTTCAGAACCAGCTACAGCCCACCTGAAATCGGATGCTCCTCCGTGAGCCAAGACCAGCGACCTGCGTATCCCAGGCATTTTCTGACCTTGATTCCTCACCTTTGTTTGCTTGGGCCGCATCTGCAATCGTCGCAGTGGCACTGCTTGCTTTGACTCGATCTTAGTCACTTCCCCGTTGGGGGCATACTGTTACTGCATGTTACTGCAGCTCATGGGGTTTCGCAATTTGGGCTGTGACACTTTATCGAACTGCGAATCCCGCACGGCTGTTGAGCTCCGACTCTTACTCGAAAGGAACAGTTTTCTGTGTTTTTCCCTGCAAACAAGCGCTCCAAGAGACGTGCAATAGCTGTGCTATGCCAATAAGGCCATGGTCAGCTGTGGCTGACGAGAACCTTGCACGGGTAGCACCCTGCTTGCTGAGCAAATGCCAGTCGCGCAGCTGCAACGAGTGGAACGCACAAAGTAACCGTATAATGACGGATTCGTAACAAAAAGTAACAAGAAACCGTTCATATCATAGCACAAGTGAGTATGGCTAAATCTAGAATTTTGGGGAAGAACTCTTTTTGCCGAGCTGGTGTTGTTGCATGCCGGTTCGACTTTGCAAAGGCTTCCCTTGGCCAAATGCATTTTGAATCCCAGCTGCGCAGCTGACTTGACGTGCGTCATTGCTTGCAGTGGTCAACCAGATGAGTCCAGCTGCCAGAATCTTGGAGGGCTCAGCCCACGGGCAGGCTTTGATGGGTCGTGCTGAAATGGGCATACATGGGCTCCTTTGGGTTCAGACTGTCTGTGACTAGTTGCACAAGCAGCCAGATTGCATTGCAAGCCGCAAAACCTGCCCGTGAGTGGCAAACCTTGCTTGACACTCTTGGCTGTTCTCGTCATGCGGCCCAGGATCAACTGCGGGAACAACTTTGAGAATGATGTAGTGGTCGAGTTCAACAGGTGTGCGTTGAGTGCGAAGAAGTGTGCCCTGGCGTTCGTTGACTGCAATCTCAGGATGTCATTCCATCAAATTCCATCAGGTCAATCAGTCAACATATTATATTAGTTATATACTTCGTTTCTCCGTCTTGGCTCAAACGCTTCACCGCTCTAGTCGTTGCATCGTTGCACCTGAGGCGTGCCACAACGCCCTGACAAAGGCCCGGTCCCAGGTGAAAAGAACTGGGAGCCAATCAAGGGCCGGTATCCACCTCCACCACCCGATAGTGTCAGCGAGACTTGGTTGTAAGATCGGGTTTGATCCTTATGGGTCCGTGTGAAGTGCATGTTTGCATTAGGCTTTTGAAGTACCAGATTTAGTCCTAGAAGGAATGGGTGGGGCACGTGTCTCACCATTTCCAAGCGAGTTTTTTTCCTTCAAAGGGGACGCTTGATGGTGCTGCAATTGTGCTTGTCCAGCTTGTGGACTGCAAGTTACCTCTAGTCATTGTGTTTGTTGTTGTTTCGTGCTTTGTCGATGCGGGTTTTGTTGTTTTCCACATGGTATTTCACTTCACGGACGCCTACTTAGGATGACTTTGAGGTCACCAAGATGACAGGAAGATGGTATATCACAGCTGGATGCAGCCTTAGCTCCTGCTAGATGAACGATCAGCACCACACGAGTGTGCAGCAATTCAGAAGACTGCCCGGTTTCCGTTTTGAGTCATGCCCACTCAGGCTTGAACCCCTTGTTCGATACGTTTGACTGTCAAGTGCACTTCTTTGAAGGCCTCACCTGTTGCAAAATATGCCGAAGCCTATCTAGTCTATGCAGATTTGGTGTTGTACAGCGGCTGAAGAGAATTCCACAACTAAATGCATATGGCATGAGCTTCGGCAAAATCTGCGAAGACGACCAGTCACATGATGAAGGTGGGATTAGGACACCTGCGTCAAACCTGCACAATCGATGAGAGCACTATTTGTCATATACACCAGTCGATCGGGACAGTGCCTCCTGGCACACCAAGATGCCTAAGGATTTGTCATGGTCAGTGACTGTTGCATTTGTAGCGGCACTTGTTTGGCCTTCCCTAAATTCCAGGACCAGTGCTGGTGTTGAAACTCAGTCCTACTTGATGAGTTTGAGACTTGAGACATGTCTCTTGTGGCGTTCTCTTCAGGCATGGCCCCCACGGAAAATTCATTGGGCCGCCTCGTTGGAAAGATCAATTGGCGCATCAACGAGGCTGCGTCAAGAGACTGGGAGAATGCTCGGTGGGCGAACAGTCGAGGGAGGAGGAAGAGAACATCCCAGGCCGAAAGCTCGTGCAACTCAGCAGGGGCCTTTGAATATGGGACCTTTGAGCGCCTGAAATTCTTAAAGAGTGCAGGGTTGGGGCTTTATGGAAATTGCTTCACCTTGGCGACAGCCCATCAGCATACATCAAGATACACCATGAGCTGGCGTTTCAGGGTAGGTTTCGCCTCAACATCGTATGTCCAGCAACATTCATCAATCAATTGGCCTTACATTGGCTTCAGGAGGTGGCTTGATCAGGTCTAGTTGCTCCATGCCAACCAGAACCCTAAGCACCATTTGAGCTGAACCCACGCGCCCCGTTACGCGCCGCCCTTCCCTGTGCCTCGCCCCAGCGGTGTCGGTCGAGCGGTGCCAGGTGGATGGTGAGTTCATCTCACGGTCGACGGTCCAAAGCCACTCGGAGCAAGCTGAGTTCGGCCGTGCCATGAACGCAACACATCATATGGCATCATAAGGCCATGGACCATGACCATACGGATAGAAGATGATAGAATAATGATTGAATCAGAGTGTTTATTTCCCTTAACGCATGTTCGATCTTGGCAATGTGGCAGGCTTTGTGCAAGCACAGCCTGGCCTTTTGTTGAACCACGGGAATGACTATTTAAACTATCAAGATGATTGGTATGTCCTTGACCACGGCAACGAAGACGATCCAGAGCTTGGTTTTGTCCTGATCTACTACCGCGGCCAGACGCTTGGGTGTCAGCATCATTTGTGGGATGTTGAGCGCGGAAGATTAAGATCTCTTTCTTGCATTCCGAATTCGAGATGCCTTGGCTTGTGCCCATTCACCTGTTCGAGCTCTAAGGAATGATGCATGGGCTGGTTACGGTGGCGGAACCCTTTACACCCGCAAAAAGACGGTGCCGCGCGAAATCCTCGAACGGGTTAGGGAGGCAACAGCAAAGGCCAATGTGCCATATGACAAGTATTGGAAGGCGGGAGATGGGTCGAGTCCGATGAGACCGAGTCTTCCCATCCCATTTTCGTCTTTGTAGGGAGGACGAGGCTTGACAATGCGGTTGGTGTGAATTTGGACAACCTTTGGAGTCTCTCACCCGACGTTTTCCTCTGACCATGGGGCCTAGTGGAGGTTAGCAGGGGGTGCTAGAGACAGCTGTTAATGTTGACCGTTCATGAATCATCCCCTATACTTAGATGCTCCTAGATGATCAAAACAATTGAACCGTCAACATGACTCGTCGCACCAGGTCACTGACAATAGCTGCGCAGCTGAAGGGGACCCAGCCAAGCTGCGTACTATCTATGCAGAGAAGCTGCTGGAGCAGGCGATGTTGGTTAACAGGCAAATCTCACCATGAGTCTTTGAGTCAGACTGGTGAGTCACATAACTTGGAGCAGATACTGCATAGTTATAATATAGCTATATATATAATTATAGTTCATTATTGTCATTGGTGAAATGCTCTTTAACTCTCCAACAGATCACTATAGATCCACAGGTGCCGATTGAGAGGTGCTTTTGCGCTATTCTTGCTGAAGAATGGATTTGTTGTTTCCGCCTAAGGCACTTTGGTAGGTTGAATCTCCTGATGTGTGACGTTGCTGCACTTCGGGCTCAAATGCTAGTGACTAGTGCTGAAAAAAATAGTGGGCCTTGTTCTAGGCCAGCTGCCCAGTTCCCGTTTTCGGCAGCGAACAGAAGGCATGGGACATGAGCCACAGGCAGCACATGCGCTACTGGCGCCACTCGCGTCGGCACTACGAGTGAGTGCAGCAGACACCCCAGCGGTTCGCTCGGCGAGGGCCCAAGAGCTGCGGAAGCAACAGTAGCCTGGTGATCGTTGTTTTGCAAGTGTTTTGGGTTTTTGCATTTTCTTGTTATCATCCTTGTTTTTGCTTATTCTTATCTTATTCTCACCCTTGTTGTATTCTAGATGAAGCTACATGCCGCTACATGTATTGATTTCTTTTGTCTCTTTGGTATTTGATTTCGATCGGGGGTGGTGAAAACGGTTTGAGAGCCGTGCAGGAAATTTTTGCTGAAACTTCACCACATGCAGCAGATGGCCCTTCTTGAGCGGCAACGCTTGGAGCTCGTTGAGATGTCGGAGAGAATGGCGGCTTTCCCCAAGCCCACCGGCGCTGATTTGGCGACTCCAGGCATTCCGCCGGTACAAAAAGAGCAGAAAGACCGGAAATCTAAGGCTCAGGATCCTTGGTCATGGGAGGATGGTGTGGTGACAACCGTGATGATCCGTGGTATCCCACGCCACTGGACTCAACAGACGTTGCTCAAAACGGTGGCCGATGAGGGGTTCGAGGAGCAGGTTGACTTCCTCTACGTGCCCTTGGACGGCAAACAAAGGGAGGCGAAGGCGAATGTGGGCTATGGCTTTGTGAATTTCCATGACGCAGAGCTGGCCTTGAAGTTTCGGAATTCTTTCGATGGGCGGGTCCTACATCATCACACCCCTCGGAACAAAGCAGTTCGTGTTCATCCAGCTTCCATCCAAGGGTACGATGCAAATGTGGCGTACTTCATGGACAAGAAGACCGCGGATCACCCTTCTTTCAGCCCTTTGATTTTTCCGGTTGCCGGGAACAAGCGGAGGGGTAGTCAGGCAGCCAAGGGGCACTCTTGCTGAGACCCAGACTGACGCTTCCAATGAATTGCTCGTTGCACATCACAGTCAGTCAGGACAAAAGAGTGGAACCACCGTGTCTGCAACTTAGCCAGAAGTGAATGAAATGAAGGAATGTGCTTAAGCCGAAATGCGGCATCTCTAGTTCCTACACTACAGTGAGTTGATTTCCTTACGCTAACTTTGTGAACGCACACGGGAAAGCGCCGTGTGCGGACCCTCGCGACGGGTCACGCCAAGATCTTTGTACAGTCTGGTTCTGGCGATCAAGTGTTCCAGATTGTTCCAGTGTTGATCGCCACTGTTTTTACAGTTGGATCCACTGATACGACTGTATCCTGTACACTTAATTAGCAGTCACTTGACGGGTGTTCAGCTAATGTTTCAGCCCAATCTGGCGTTTGGTAGGATTGGCGCAGGCCGGGCACAAAGAGGGTGAGTCGAGCACCAGTTGGGGTTGAATGATTCCGTTAAGTTGGAGGCTATGTGTCGGCTGTTGCGCAGATGAAGTCACCAAAACCTCATGGAGATTTGTCACGACACCCAACTTGGGGTGAGTCTTGATGGCTTTCAACCATGGAAAAGCTTTCCAAGAGCTTTCCTTTATTTTGGGCTGGCTTTGTTCCATTGCAGGCAGAGATGGGCTTCGAAGAGTGTCTCGCCATTTAAGGGGCCAGCGAGGTCGTCCCTACGTTAAGGAACCGCAGTTGAGGTGCAAGACCAGAACAGGCTGACTGAGCTGTCAACATGGGCACACAAATCAGAGCATATGCCAAGCCTGCTTACCGCCTGCGCGTTTCGACAAAATCCAGCGGTTGGACACCTGAGGCAGCTTACACTCTTGGCAAGGACCACGGTATCAAAGATAGACAAGGCGGATCTGTCAACCATTTTTCCACGCGATTTGCCGATCGGTCGATTTCGACTGTTTGCGTCGGTTTTGGTCGCTTGAGACTTGTCGCGCAGGAGGAGAAGGTGATCATGGATGCAGCTCGAAGGTTGGAGAAGAAGACAGAGGATGGAGCCGGGAGACTGACGGAGACTGATGAGTAAACGATGAAGAGCATGTGAAGAGATATCAAAACCGACTCGAAACCCCCAAGATCCAAAAATGGATGCGGCTAGTGTTAACCATGTGGGCTACATGTGCTAACAGGTCTCGCCTCTTGACGCACATGCAAGCCGCTAGGCGTTCGTGAAAGAAGAGTTGAGGGACAGCGAGAAAGCGAGACCTGGCAGAAGTGCGAAGGCAAAAACCAAACAGGTGCGGTAAATGATGGTAAATGTCATGTGAACTTTCCTGAAAGGATCTGAAAGGCTGGTTGTGTTTCTTCCTTACATGCACCCGATTGATTAATCTCCTGAACACAGCTGTAGTCGCGCAAATAATTTTGCTGTTGACCGTTTACTAACCTTTCGCACACGCATTGAGGATAGAGGATAGCGAGCTTGCGACGCTTGAACGCAGGGATTGCGACAGGATACTATAGATGAGACTGCCTTTGTCTTTGGGCTCTTCCATACCGCAAAAAATAAACAGTTGTTGGCAGCACCAGGTCATTGTGTTTCAAGTGAGCTCACAGCTTCTTGACATCAGCTACATCCACAAGTGATATGGCAAAACTCCTTACAATTTAAAAGGGTGCCCACTATGCAACATAAAGAGCCCTCAGACCCGATGATGTGCGCGCAGAACAACCTGGCCCCTGTCAGTAGTAGACTATTGTCTTCTATATATATTGTTTTTTGGACATTTTCTAAAGACTTGACGTGTTGTGGACCTGGCCAATTTATTTAGTCCAGTGCAGGACCATCTATTCTTTTGAGAACGCGGAGTCGTACAGTAATCGTGTTGGCTCATTGAAACGTCCAATCTTCATTGACCCCAGGTTCGAAGCTCCCTTTCGAAAGCTGAAGGAATTCTTCAAACCCAAGAGGTCGATCGAAGTTGTTTCTGTGCCGGCCATGTTTGTCGTAAGACGACAGTTGTTCGACGATGTGATGATGTGATCCAGCTTTCATAGGTAGCTTCCTGATTTTTCCACCAGGCAAGGCAAACAGATCCACACAATACTTGGTTGACGTGCTTTGCTGCAAAGTGCTGTCGCTGTCGGAAGAGCCTCGACGACAGGTGAGTGGTCTGCAGGACTCAGGACCTGTGCTTTTGGAAGTGAGATGTTTGCCGTGAACCTGCTGACTTCTCGTGAACCCTGTGAGGACTTGTCAGTTTGCCCCGCTCACTGACAAATGTGAACACGGGTAGGAAGAAAGCGCTTGATGGCAGCGAGGCTGCCCTTAACTATTGGCCGTTTTGGCCGAAATCGGGCCTTCGCCCTCCCAAGTGAACTGCAAGACAGGCGAAGAGGAGCCGCATTTTCCGTAGCAGTCGTGACAGTCAGCGAATTTCAATGCTTTCTAATTCCCGTCAACGACAGCTTTCGTCTTGCAGTGCATTGTGGGTCTCCAGATAGCAGTTTGAAACATGCTGCCAGAAAACAGGTGCAGCTTGCACAGGTCGGACATGGGTAAATCCAAGGTGGAGGACTTGTTACAATTTTACTATGTTACCTTACTTGCGCACAGGTGGTCAGATGTCAACCACCGCTGGGTTGTGAATGTTGGCCCAGAAGCTTTGTATTGTATTTTACTTCTGCACTGGTACGTTCAGGTTTGTGGACGGGTTCTTCCCAACCCTGGAACAGAAGCCGCTGTAAACCTATCAGTCCGCAGCGAGGGAACCTCCAACTAGAACCTCGGAAAGCCTGATCCGTATATTTCAGTAGGGCTGAGTAGGGACTTCCAATATCGTTTTGGCGGCCTTGTATTGCCGCTACCATGGGCTATATAATTGTGTCTATTTACATATATATATATGTATATCATTATCTTATATTCATATATATATATATACGTAGCCGCCGTATTATCGTCATTATGCAATTGGTCTCTTGTCTCTCTCCCCCTCTCATCTTCCATGTCGGCTTCTCGACCAGGCCTTGGGCCTGGAGATCGGCCTGTTCGACAGGTGCGAGGGCTCTCATTAGTTTGAAGCTACTAGTAACATCGTTGTTCCTAGTAGCGTCCTTGTTCCTAGTAGCGATGCCCTTTGCTCCTAGTAGCGTCCTAGTAGCATACCCGTTGAAATTTCCTTTAAAAAATCAACCTCCCTGGGTAACAAAAAGAGCTTCGATATTGTAAAGAAAAAAGTTTGTTTCCAGGTGCCCGTTTTTGTGGGGGTGGGGAGGTTGATTTTGTAAGGGCAGCATTCTTTCTTGGGGCTGTTGATTTTGTAAGGAATCGATATGTTGGTATGGATGTCAAAAGTGCCGCACTGATGAGGGTGGGGTCCTTGATTCTATGCAAGTTTGAGGGTGGGGTGGTTGTCATGGACAGTCGATTCTGTAATCGATTGACCTGCTGTAAAGCATGGACAGTTGATTTTGTAGTGGGTTGAGCTGCTGTAGAACATGGTCTCATAAATTCTCAATAATTCGCATAATTTTTCATGATATATCATAGATAGGATATATTAGAACACACACACACACACGCACACCAGGCATCCCAAGAGCCTCGTTGAGTCTCGCTGCTGAGTTGATGTTCAATGAAAGTGTTCTCTTTGAACCCAGTCTATCCCACACTTCAACGCCTTCTGCTGGAAGATCCTCTTTCTTCTTTGCCTTCTTTGGTGGAGGAGTATCCACACCTGCCGCAATTAAACATCTAGTGAGGGCTTCTGAAGGCACTTGTTTCTAGGTTAAACAGGTTTTTCTACTGTATCGAACCAGTCTGATAAACTCTGTCAAAAAGTCTCCCAACAGACCCATTGAAACCCACGCTTCACTTGCCTTCTGCTTGAAGACTCTTCGCCTTCCGCGCCTTCTTGGATGCTGGAGTTCCCGCACCTGCCGCAATTAAATGTCTATAGACTATAGATGTCTAGTCAGGGCTTCTGGGGGTACTGGTTTCCAGGTGGACACATGAAGGATCATGAAGGTAAAAGTACCAAGGAAGATGTGAAACCTCAGAATCCTAAATCTTCAACACGTCCCAACGCAACCCTGGAACCCCCACACTCCAATGCCTTCTACTAGAGGCTCATGCTTCACCTTCGTTGTCGCAGAAATTTCCCCACCTGTCACAAGTGAGCCGGGAGAGAGAGCTTTCTATCTAGGTGGATATCTACAAGCGCCGTACTTAAGTCAACCCACGTCGCGTGAAGTCAACTCACTGCATGGGCACAAGGTTTCAGCGAGAAGTCAACATCAACCAATGCCTGTGAACCTGTGAACCTGTAGCGATAAGTAAACCGAGACTGAAATTTTTGATTCTGTATAAGTGCCTCTGGATGCTCTCTTGGTGCCTCTGATTTTGTAAAACTGTTTCCTAGTGATAGACATTGGGATGCTTGATTTTGTAATCAACTGTTTGGCGCATTGGTCCGTGCTACTGTTTGACCGTATCGTATCGTCTCGATGAGGTCGCGCCGAATCATTACAAATTCGTTTGTTTTTTCCAATCCAGGTTTAATGATTGAGATTTTGTATCTTGTTTGAGGCCTCGGGGTGGTTGATTTTGTAATTGTACTGAGCCATGTCGACAGAATGCCTACGATTTTGTAAGGACTGTATCTTGAGACTGGGACAGTTGATTTTGTAATATTGGCTGGAGAGTTGTCCCTTGCCTGCGTCCTGGGGGGGGTTGATTTTGTAAAGCTTTTCAGATTGGCGAACCTGGGGTGGTTGATTCTGTAGCACATTTTCCTTACAAAATCAACCACCCCTACATACGCCAGGAATTCGAGGGGGGTATCTAGTAGCTCATTGGCCACTAGAAGCTGCTAGTAACAAGTGCATCGCTGCTAGTAACAAGGGTTTTGGTGCCAGAGACCACTTTGACAGCCGCTGTGTGGGACTAATTAGTAATTAGTGTCTTTAGCTGCCAGGCCAACACTGCCACCAGCTAGCCAATCAGGCATCACGTTTGCAAGGGCACAGGGTGATCGATTCAGCTTGGCGATCAAAATGTATCACTGTGTATATATATACACGTTGATTATGCAGGTGTGTATATATATATATTTACTTGTTTTTTTTGGGTGGCTTTGATTAATCATGAATCCCGACAACTTCCTTTTGGACGTTGCTGTTCCACGAGCCTTTGCTCATGAGTGTGAGCACACATTGCGGATCACAATCATGAACCTTGGTCACCTTGGTTTGCAATCCTGTGTTCCAAGCGGCTTCAAGACAACAAATGCAGTCCACTGCGCTGAGGCAACAGGCCCAGCTGGCAGCAGACCTTGCAGCGGTGGCAGGCTGGCTGAATGGGTTTATTGGAAGCAGCTGAGGTGAGGAACAGGAATTCAGAGGGCACTGAGTAATTAAGTATATGATTGTGTACAGCCAATAGAAAGCCATGTACTTTTTGGGTAAACTTAACCATCTTGTTTGGGTATCAGCGCTCCATTGGGATTAGCTCCCGCAGATGAGTTCTTGGAAACAGTGTTGTTATGGTCATTTGGCATTGAAATAGTGGCAAGGGATGACTAGGGGATGACTTTGTCAGGTTCCATTAATGCCCCACTCCCGGTGTCAGTGCTGTGCCCAAGGGTGCCCAAAATGAGAGTTTGTGACTAGGACGAAATATACATAATGATCCTATTTGCATTTTGCTCCCAGAGAAAATCACATACACGAGATGTGAGCTTAGTGATGCATGCATATTATCCGTTGAAACGCTCCCCCCAGATTTGTTGCACGCAGTTCCGTTTGTCAACTTCCTTTCACAGGGATCTTCCATTTGGACCGGCTTCCTTTCACGAAAAGTGAACGGACAATTAACACGAGAAAAGGGAGGAGGCGTCAACGGCGTCAACTTGTGATCCACTCACCGCTCGCATCGCTCGCATCGCTCGCATCGCTCGCATCGCTCGCCAGGCCTTTCAGAGGTCCAATGGGCTGGCCTGGGACCCCAGCAGGTGTCAAGACTGTGAAATCAGACAGCTAGCGGGACTGCAGCTATGATATGCTATGGCTATGGGTTGATATGCAGAAAACTCAATTGATGGTGGCTTTTGCCAGGGAGTTTTGGATCCTAATGGTGGTCATGTTGTGTCAGTGCATAGGTGATTGGCGGATTGACATGCTGTCTGGTCGAGAGAGGAGGGTGCAAGAGAAAAGATACTTGCAGGGCCGCGGAAGCTCTCTTCAGTTTCTTGATTTCTGCAGTTTGGGACATATTTGGCAATAGCCTGAGACTGAATACTAGCCAATGCCTCCTAAGCATCCCGCTCAAGGATGCTTCCAGATGGCATGAGGCGGGAAGAGAACTGGGAACTCAGTGAGCGGCTGCGAACAATCTGCCGTAGTCATTCCAGCTTTTTGTTTGACAGGACAAGGAACACGTTTTACAGGACAAGGTCTAGCTATCTCCTTTCCAGAAGCACATTGCTTGCCACCCGCCCGCGCTTGTGTGCTTCAAAAGCATAGCAGACAGTAGGGTGTAGTGTAGACCATCAGAGCCATGCTGCTTTCGCAAGGAAGTTTGCTGAAGGAGGACTCCATGCGGGGTGTGTTTCCAGAAAAGGCAGCTGTGAAGTACAGCTTTCCACTGCCGGAGGGCTCTCCTTTGTGGCTTCGGCGCAGCTTCAGGTGGTTTCAGGGTGCGATGGGGGAAGACCACAAGACCGGCATTATCTATGGGATGGTGAATTGGATCGTGTGCGTGCCGTCTTTGGTGTCCTATGCGCACATTGTCTTCCCGCAGCCAGTTTTTCGACCTTTCCTGCCCATGGTCGTCAAGGCCTATTTCTTAAGTTCTGCCGTGATGCAAGTTGTGATGACGTTCTTATCCGACGTGGAGTTTTCCATTGGACAAATACAGGATGTGGGCTTGATTTTCCTGGCAGGAATGGTTCGGACGATTGTGAAATGGGGCATGAATGAGGAGGACCCACTAACGGCAGAAGAGTTGATCGCCACCAGTGTTTACCAGTGTGCAGGCAGCACTTTAGTGGTGGGGCTTGCTTTGATTATCATTGGTCGCTTGCAGCTCATTCAGTATGTTCAGATGCTTCCTTTGCCGGTCATCGGAGGCTATTTAGGCTACATTGGCTACTTTTGCTTTGCCGCAGGGCTTGGAATCGGGTCAGGCCGTGAAGTGAACGACCCCAGCTCCTTGCTTCAGCTGTTCGATGCAGAACTTGCCCTGAAGATGAGCTTGTTGATGGTCATGGCGTTGATCATGATCTTTGTTCACTTCAAGGTGAAGCACTTCTTGGCGATGCCGGTGACCTTGGTGTTGCTGCCTGTCGCCTTCTTCCTTTGTGCCGCTATTGTGGGTGTCTCGCTCGAGGATTGCCGGGCAAAGGGCTTAGTGCCTTACCCTCGTGGCAGCTCGAGCATGGAGGAGATGTGGGCGATCATCAACTATGAGGACGTGCAGGTGAACTATTTGTATGGGCAATTTGCAAATGTCGTAGGTTTGATCATCATCGTCACGTTTGGTTCCTCTTTAGACATCACTGCCATCCAAGCTGAGCTTCCAGCTCGCAAGCTGGACTACAGCAAGGAGCTTACAGCCATCGGCTGGGGGAACCTTTGCAGTGGCTGCGTCTTCGGGGCCACAGGATCCTACATCTTTTCCCAGACCATTTTCAGTGCCAAGCGTTCAGTGAAGAGTCGCTTCAATGGCATTGTGGTGGCCTTGGGGGAGTTCTTGCTCTTCGCTTTGCCGGTGGATATCTTGAAAGTGCTCCCCAACGCCTATGTAGGTGCCCTCCATGGTGGGTCTTCTGTTGTGAAGGGTCAATAAAGACCATAGCTACGATAGCTCTTCCACTTGATTGCAGTTTAGTTCTTCAAGTCCGTGTGCTGAAAGCAACTTCTAGCATTGCAATCTTGTGTTGGTGTGCCTGTAGTCCTGTTTGCATCGTCTGCCAGATTAGTCAACAATTTGAAACGATGTCGCCACGCCCCAAGGTAGCAATCCTGAAGCAGGTGAAAGGTATGTCTCAAGCAACCCACATCCTGTTCGGCAATCAAAACTATTGAAGAAACCAAGACATGACGGACATGACCTAACTATAATTCATTATAATTCTATAATCAAATGTTCTCCCTGTCCATGCCTGTCCATGGGCAGGTGGCATCATGTGCCTCTTTGGTGTTGACATTATGAATGACTGGCTGGTGGAATCCCGAAAGCTGATGTCTCGCACCGAATATCTCCTTGTTTGGATCTCCTTCGGCTGTACCATGTGGCTGACTTCAGTCCAGACCTTTGGTGTGATCGAGGGCATGGCCTTGGGGACAGCCGTGGCAGGCCTTTTTTTTTGTGTACCAGTTTGCCAAGGTCCAAGACAAGTGGCATGAGGTCTCTTCCAGATCTTCAGTGGTCAGACCACCTCAGGAACGGCGGCACTTGAATGCGCAGTACAACTCCATTCTGGCGATCAGCTTGAATAGCTATGCTTTCTTTGGCACCAGCTTTACCTCCATGCAGAGTATCGAAGAGGCTGCCAGGGGAGCTCGCTTCGTTTGCTTCGACCTTGGCCGGTTGAGCGGCATGGATTGCACCTTTGCAGACCAAATTCGCCTCTTGGTTTTGTCTCTGGAACGTGAAGGCACACGGATTTTCCTCTCGTCCCTCCGGTCCAAGACGGTGTGGCGCCTTTTGCTGGCCCATGGGGTCGTAGGTGAGAGTGCCCCGCAACGGCCCGTCTTTGTGACCTTGGATCAGGCCTTACAGCAGTGTGAAGAGATCATTCTGAGCGAGGCGGGGAAGTTGCGCAAGGAGCAGAAAGACGAGTGGCCTTTAGAAGTTTTGCTGCTTGATTACGTGGAAGGCTTTGTGTCTGACAAGGCTCAGGCCTCTCAGGCGGCCAAGGCAGCAGCGGCACGCTTTGAGCGCATCGAGTTGAAGCGAAACCAGATTTTGTTCCGAGGCGACGACCCTGCGAACGCCATCTTTGTGGTGGCCAAAGGCATTGTCGGAGCCTCATCCAGCTTGGACTTTGCCAAGCAGCTTGGGCACTTCGGAGCGCTATTGGCTTCTCCACAGCCATTGCACCGGCCATCCACTGAGCTAGATGCTCCTAGTGATGGCCATGAGGATTTCCCTTTCATGGAGGAATCGACCATGCAAGAGCATGACCAACACGGTGTAGGGGCCATCCTGAATGACACTGCCTTCTTCGCACGCAGGAAGTGTGGGGCGGAGGCAGCGGCGCAAAGCGATGACTGTGTAGTTTTTCGCCTTCGCCGTGCGGCGATGGATGAATTGGAGAGACAAGACCCCGTGGCAGCGGTGTTGCTGCAGAAAGTCTTGCTTCGAGACTTGTCACAGCTCATGGCTCAATTTCTGTGTCCCCTGCAAGCCGTTTCTGGCCTCAGTTAAGACAGCTGAGCCAGACATCGATGCACCAGGCTTTCAAGTCACTGGTGGCACAGCTGTCATGAGCACAATTCAGCGAGTGCCATTCTGAGTGAGCCAGCCTGCCGGCTTTCTTGTCGAATCGGTTATAGTGAGCAACAGCAGTCGGAAAAAACGATTGCGACTTGCTTTACCAATGCTTTTCGCGTGAAGCCGGTCATGAAGCCTAATGATCAACTCAAATGTACCTCAAAGTCTCAGACACATTCCGATACAAGAAACGGCCAGCGGATCGCAAGGCACTTCACATGCGAGGAGGCAATGACACTTGGCTTTGGAAGAGTTGGACGAGTTCGTGAAGTCTCAATATGTATATAATATGTCTCAATGAGTTTGGATTTCTGGGGTAGTTTCAGATGGTGTTGACTTTCAACATGTTCAAACATGTTCAAGAGACTATGGCAAAAGGAGGTTGAAGATGCCAATCCAGAATGCTACTGTACTTGTAGCTCGGAATTGATTCCTCAATTTGCTTTTGACAAATGTAAGAATGCTTGAGTCTGACTTACAATAATTTCGGCTGGAAGCAGCTGTCCTCAGGTTCAGGACTCGGGTTAATAGCATGGCATCCATTTGCACTTGTGTTTCTCTCGGCATGTTGTCATGGACTGTTTCGTTTGGACCTTCAAAAGCCAGGTGTGAGCACAAACGCCCTGTCATTGCCAAGGCAAACACATTGTTGACCGTTGCTGCCCGTGCTGCAGATGTGGAGCAGCAGTGGGAATTTGCGCTGTGCGCATTTCTGAATTCGTCTTGTGCCATGAGTGGGACGCCTGGCTGCCAACGTCTTTCGCCATGCTTGGCTGCTCTAACATGACATGTCCCGTGCAGACGAGATGCAGACGTGAAAGGCAACGCCAGGTGGATGAGGCAGCGTGATGAGGCTTGTTGACACATCGGTGGTGGAAAGAGGCTCCGTTCGATGTTGAAGATTTGTTTCACTGTTTCACATGAATTCGTTTGTTCGTTGACACAGTCCATTGGTGACTGGACCCTTTCGACATGGAGTGGGCTTCTATGAGCCTTTTCGGCCTCAGGACCAGACTGGCCAACTCAGTGGCCACTGCATGTGCCCGTCGGCTTCAGTGGGCGGAAGCTTTCAGGCAGGGAAAGGACATCAATGTGTGGATGATGTGTACTATGATGTGTATGTCCTGAGATGTGTGGAGCAAACATTAACACTGCAGAAAATACGCATGACCTCATGCATTAATACAATATATATATATATATGTAAAATATATAATCTAGTAATAATAGATAGTATATATAGTCTCCGTTTGTATAGTGTTTTCTTATTGTTAGCTCTGGCTCTATCAAGCGCGCTCGCTCTTTCTTCAAGACAGGGTGCTGGTGTGCACATTTGTTGAGCAAGGCTACCAACAAGCCATACCCGGCCATACCCATTTCCTCCTTTTTTGCCCGCCACCTGCACACGACCAGAAAGGGTCTGGGGCGTGGGCGGCTGGACTTGGAAAAACAGAAGCTAAGGGCCCTCTAACATCCTCTAACAGTAACGAAGTCCCCTTTAAAGGGACTTTAAAGGGGTCCAAACTTTGTGGTGGGACTCAGTTGGGACCAAAGCCAGGTTTTTGGGCTCTATGCCTTTGTGGAGGATGGAGCCCAGAGCAGCAGGCGGGCCAGGGTTCTGGAGCCATTCGCACAAAAGGTGATGCATGATGACAAGCCCTAAGATGGCTTGCATGTTCTGGGCATTTCTACGATTTGCCTTCAAGACGGTGCAGCCTGCCGCAACTCAAGGTGTGCACCTGGAAGGCAGTTGCACCGTTGAATGGCTGACGCTTCCGGTTCGACCCGTGGGAGGCTTCAATGCTGCAATCAGTGCCAGTGCTACAAGCCGGCACTGGATGCAATCCTTCTGGATGGTCCGACGCATGCTTTCTCAAAAGCTCATACCAGATGAAATCAGCTGCTTTGCTACGACTGGAGATGAGGCAGCGTGGCCCCCTTAGCCAAGAGTGCTACGTTACAGTGGCGGGCCCTTGGCCACATCACTTCGTACCACTGAGATTGGTTGTTCCCCCATGGCTCCCTTAATTTAAGAGCCTTTCACCATTCAGCAATAGGGTGAGCTCATGTTTCACAACGTTTCGCTTGTCATTGGCTTTCGGCTGGGGGTGGTGTGAGAATGCGGGACAGCAAAGAACATAGCAAAAATGCACCCAGGTGACCAGCGAGGTGAGGAGTGAGGACTCCCTAGCCGAGAAAGGTGCTGTACTGTATATAAATGTACATATATATATATATATATTGTATAGTTATATATATATATATATTACAAAAAATACACAGTATATAAATGGACATCTATGCCTTCATTGTTGCATCCTGAGGTTTTGGCACCCTACTAGACTCGGTGGCCGAAGACTGGAGACATGAAGCCTTTGAGGTGTTGATGAGTGGCTGGGCAGTGCAATATGTTGAAGATCCCTGCCGGCCGCGGCACACCGTGCGGAGTAGAGATTGGTCGAAAGTCGACGGAACTTGGGCAAAGACAGCTGAACAACTAAGATAACTCTATAAGAGCAAACACAACAATCTTTGACCGTACAGCCAACATGAGCACGGTAACTGTGACACTATAAGACCTTTTGGTGCAGTTTGCAGTTTCCGAGGTGTTGAGAGCTCTGTGGCACCCTGGTCGCCCAGCTTCCTCCCATGGGCGATGGCCAAGCTCAGCAGCCTGGCGTTCACAGAAGACTGAACTAGTAGCGATGCCAGGAGCTACCAGTAGCGTCCTTGCTCCTAGTAGCGATGCCCTTTTTTGGTTTAACATCTCAACCAATACCAACTCCAATTTGGTTTGGTCATGTGCCTGCGACATCATGCCTCCATTTTCACAGCTCATCCAGTTTTCCAGGGCTTCGTCCAGCCCCGGCACGCCTCGTGCACGCCTTTGCCGCGGCCCTCCGCGGCACGCGGTGCCGGGCAGCCGACGTGGTGGCGCTCGCATGGGCGGCGGTGACGCGAAATCAATTGGAGCGCCACAAGACTCCACACACCACAAGAGTCTGGAACCAGCATTTGAGAGCACTTGGCCGTAGAACTCCAGGATTGCTTAGACAAATTGGGTGACCTTGGTATGCTTTTTGCTTTTTTTCTCAAGGCGACGTTGTGCGTCTACAGCCGGCCACTGGCACAGAAAGTCGCCACAGATGCGCGACAGTGCATGGCAGACTTCAGCAATGAGGCCGACGGGCGACCGGGGCTTGGAACCGCCACGGCTCGGTGGGATCGAACAGAACCGCATTGGACTGAGCAGCAACCGAGTGGCTCGGAAAGGATGAGAAGGGAATAGGATAGTATGCTGCATGGGCGCCCCTCGCGGGAACAGGATAGCATGCAGGATGATCACACAAAAAAGCAAGGTGGTGTCTATAGTCTATACAGTATCTTGACAGGGTTGTGCCACACATGCAAGCACGACATAGCAGTAGCATGGCTGGATTGCCAGTCACCTCTTCGTGAAGATTTGATTATATAAGAACCAGCTAGCAGTCACAGACATTGGCTGGATTTGGAGCTCCGGGTTCATACACCTCAGTTTTTGCCTCATGGCCTTGACTGGGGCGACTCGTGTTTGTGGCGCTCGCCATTTGGGCCTTGCAGTTCTGCTGCCAACATTGGCCTGCATCAAGCACCTCACCTGCCCCGGGTGCAACTTGAGGAGTACCTTGAGTTTCTCCAGCTTTGCCCCCAGCATTCTGGGAAATCCTGTCGTTTTGGATCGCCTGTGTCATGGATGGAGCATCCACCAGCTGCAGAACGGCTACCGCTTCAATGGCGATGATATCCTGTTGGCCCGTGAGGCTTCCCGTGAAGCTTCCCGCATTTCACCCTCTCGCGTCCATCTTCTCGACTTGGGCGCCGGTACAGGCTCTGTGGGTCTCTTTTGGCTGGCGCAGGGGATGAAGACGTCAACGAAGCTGTCAGCAAAGCTGACGGCCTTGGAAGCACAAGAGGAAAGTGTGGAATTGCTGCGCCGAACTGTAGCTTGGTACTGGAAATGGCAGGCACACAATGTGCCATATTTGTGCGTATTCTTTGGTTTTATTGACAGTTGAACCGAATCACCCGAGATCCACTGGAATTACAGTATTTTAATGTATTTTATAGACTGTTTGTTTTTTGAATCAATCATTTTGGTCCCAAGAGGTTTTGCAACCTCAGGTTGATTTACTGCATCTCAAGGAGGCGGTGCGAGTGGTTCATGGTGACCTCCGCGACGATGCTTTGCGGTAGAGTCGGGGATCATTTGGCCACAAGCAGACAAGCTGGTAGGTGTGTGATTTAACAGTCCGATGGGTGTGCACCCCAATCCCTGGAAGCCTAGAAGCATTCTGAGGCACTGCAAAACGGGACTAAACACGAACATGACTGAACTCTGCCACTTGATCACTGATTTTCCACATCGAGATTCCAGGTTCTCTTGACTCTGGGTGAATCTGGTTTCAATAGAAAAGGTGGCCCTCACATGCCGTTTTGCTTTGGTGTGAATTGACTGTGAGCTCGCTGCAACGCTGAGGAAGATGTAGTGGAAAAACTGGGCCCCTTTGATTTGATCACAGCGAATCCCCCTTATATCGCTCCAGAGGAGTGGGTGGAGTCGTGAGTCGTTGGCTGAAGGTCACAGAAGGTGCAAAGGAGAGTAACAGGAGGCAATGGAATATGTGCAGTTCTAATCAGTTATATGCAGTTGACGCTCTCAGCCATGGTAGTTCAGTTTCAGGGACCTTGATAATTGCACACATTCCAAATCAGCGAGAGAGAGAGAGAGGACAAAAAACTGCCAGAGCATAGCCAGCGCCGCTTTTGCTATTACGAGTTGCGTGGTGGCCTGCACGACTTTGCCATGGCGGCTGCCAAAATGTTGAAGAGGGATGGCAAGTTCTGCAATTTGGACTGAGTAATATATAGATTCGATGGCTCAGCCATGCTCAGTC